AACACGGTCAACCGAGCGCTTAGCGCTTGCTTGGGTGCGAGTTACCCGCCCAGCAGTCTCGATGCCATCACGGAATGCTTCATCATCTCTTTCAAGCCCCCAATCAGGCTCGTCCTGTTCAACGTCCTCCTCTGCCTCCATCAGAACCGCATCAGTGTTGACATTAGTGGAATTGTCGCCCTCGGTGGGATCCTTTGCATCCATTTCCTTCAGAACTTCTTCCGCTTGTGCTAGACCGTCCTCTACCGTTTTATGTCCATAGATGCCAGCCTTCTCAGTGTGCCTCGTTTTATATAGGGCCAAACCATTACACACCGTCAAGTGCAAACGGTGTGCAGCACAGGGCAGCCATTGTTTAAGAAGGCACGTAGTGCCGGATGCGACCAAATCCGAGAAACATCTGACCATATTGCTACCAGAGTCTGTGCATGCTAATGCGACCTGAACAGCGATACATGTCTAGAGGATGTCTATGACAGGTAGCCTGTCCGAGGAAATACCTTTCCTTGAAGGCCCATTTTATTGGGAGTGGTTGTTAGACGACAGCTGATATTGTCAGCCCGGCTGACTCAGCCGTGTGCTTTGACCTCAATGTCTCAAAGCCGATGACCCTTGTTTTTAAGGAGCCGGTGAGCGAAGGGTTTTCCGGATCAGCCGGATGAATGTAGTGTGCTACTAAGGAGAGCACCTGAATTGGCTAGTCCTTTCAGGGCCGTCGTTTTTCCACCAATACTACACTTTCCTTGTTAGCCCTCGTCCAAACATCCGTAGTGATTCCGATGGCTGCACAGTTCTGTAGTCCCTTGAATCCAGCCATACAGATATCCAATCGATCGCTGAGCCACCTGAAATGTTTAAATACGATCGGTGGATATTGAAGGCCGGCACTTGACTATACTTTCCATCAGTAGTACATAGGGTGCAGCAGTATTTCATTACCGGGTTATTTGCCGACGAGAGGGTATAACGTACTGAGGCTTGTTTCGGCATGTTAGATGGTACACCAAGGCTTGAAAACCAGACTTCTCAACGAGAGAAATCGGCATGTTGTCTGTTACAACCTAGCAAACTTCGACCACTGCCGAGGAGTCCTGACTCAGGATGTTGCTCACCATGTTGATGATGAGTTCGGTTGTTTTCTCGTTGAATGCTTTCCTAGCCGTCTCTTCGAGCTTGTTGGCGGAAAACCAAGAAGGAAAACCAAGAGGGAAACCCGAACCAAGAAGAACTCCTGAAGGATCTTCCGAACACCAATTCTCAAGCCAGGCGGTTGCACAGCATTGACCCAATGCCATTGGGGATGGAGGACAGCCAACTGAAAGATATATCGGCGTCTTCGGAATCTCGTTGCATAGTCGCGCAGCGCGACTCGCGCTCGAATTGCTAGCGGTTGCGTTGGTGCTAATGGCCGCCCCAAAGAGTGGCCGGAACTCCCGGACCGGAAGCTGCCCCTATAGCAATTTAATATTAACAACGTCGGCTGCTCGGAGAAAGCACGGATATACGAGGCTTCCCCACCAATTTGCGCTCTCCGAGGCGTCTCCCCCGGGCGAAGCTTTTCCGGAGCATGGTCGAGACGCTCACGGCACTCGGCGAGTGCCACTCGCTTTGGCCACCCTTATCGCGAATAATGTATCCAGTAGAGAAAACCTCGTTGCTGGCAGGCTAATAGTGTCAGCAACGATCAGCGACTAGCTGATCGATCATCCAGAGACTCTGCTCAATGCACTCATGCTCACACAGTTGCTGAGTTGCACGCATGCACAAAGGCTTTTCTGTGCCTTGGTTAAGCTTTAGTTGGGAGTCAACTAAGGCACTCAACACGCGAAGGATGCCGTGACGGTCGCACACGCCAGTGCACTATCGTCACGGGTACAAACGGCGTGGAGGGAGAGCCCGTCCACGTCGTGGACATTGAACTCTGCCCTCTCGGGTGACTATCACCGCGATAGGCAATCGCACGCAAAGCCATACATCGCCGATAGGTACTGCCTGTGAATAGCCTCAATATAGCACGATACGGTCGCCGGACAGCACTGGATACCATCGGAAACCGCTACCTCCAGGATGCGGCCAGGGTGTGCGAGAGTCGCTATGCCCGCGCGATGGCAACGGGTTGCTACGATCGCCTGCCAGATATGTTGCCAGTGCATGGCGACCATATCGTACAAGCTACATGTCTCCCAGTGGTGCCCACATCACATCTGTGCGGGCCGGGGTCTGGTTTGGGGAGCAAGCATCGGTTGGTGGACCGTGCGTGGCGTCGCATCGCCGCACGCGCCCGGAGCTCAACGTGCGCGGCGCCAGCAGAGGCGCTCGTCGGACTAACTTGATGCTTCGAGGGCTGGAAGCCACAGACACCTCCTGTCTTCCAGCTCATCAGGCCTACGCACTCGGGAGAGCGATATTTAATAAATGTCAACTAGTTAACACAAGGTAAATACCGATACGGAGGGCGCGTCACACACTGCGTCTCCGTCACACACGTGCATATCATCCGCGGTGCGTCCTCCACCCTTATCCAGGGTACGTCGTGAATCGGCCGGTGCGGCCGAGCATCGCTGCAGATTTACAGAACTAGACGGCGTACGCTGCCTATGATTTCTTCCACCTCAGCCCCCCACTCCCGGGAGCAAGCATCGCTTAGTCGAACGTGCGCGGCGTCGCATCGCCGGCACGCGCCCGCCGGAGCGCAACGTACGCGGCGCTAGCAGAGGCGCTCGTCGGACTTACTCGATGCTTCGAGGGCTGGAAGCCACAGACACCTTCTGTCTTCCAGCCCATTAGACCAACGCGCCCAGGAGTGGGATATTTAACGCCTCACGGATGCTGGCCGCAATTTTCTCTGGCCTCTTTTGCGACTTTGCCGCCGGCAAATTGCAGGGCCGTGTTGTACGTTCGAGCTTCGAAGTGAATCGCTTCTGTTGGGTTACTGAAAGTCTGCAATTAACGCCGCACGGCCCATTCAACAACTGCCTCATGTCAGTTGTTAGACCTGTACAATGCGTCCTACTGCATCCCTCGTCTACATAGTTTTTTTACCTGCTGTGGTTTGTGGCCAGGATACTGGTTATCATGTGAATATTACTGCTCCTCAGTCGACCACTACTAGTTATAATACGACTACTGCTCCTCAGTCGACCACTACTAGTTATAATACGACTACTGCTCCTCAGTCGACCACTACTAGTTATAATACGACTACTGCTCCTCAGTCGACCACTACTAGTTATAATACGACTACTGCTCCTCAGTCGACCACTACTAGTTATAATACGACTACTGCTCCTCAGTCGACCACTACTAGTTATAATACGACTGCTGCTACTCCGTCGAACACTACTAGTTATAATACGACTGCTGCTACTCCGTCGAACACTACTAGTTATAATACGACTACTGCTCCTCAGTCGACCACTACTAGTTATAATACGACTGCTGCTACTCCGTCGAACACTACTAGTTATTATACGACTACTGCTACTCCGTCGACCACTACTAGTTATAATACGACTACTGCTCCTCAGTCGACCACTACTAGTTATAATACGACTGCTGCTCCTCAGTCGACCACTACTAGTTATAATACGACTGCTGCTACTCCGTCGAACACTACTAGTTATAATACGACTACTGCTCCTCAGTCGACCACTACTAGTTATAATACGACTACTGCTCCTCAGTCGACCACTACTAGTCATCATACGACCACTACTTCTACCACGACTACTACGAGAGCTTCAAACACCACGACTACTATGACTACTACGAGAGCTCCAACTACCACGACTACTACGAGAGCTCCAACTAGCACGACTACTACGAGAGCTACAACTACCACGACTACTACGAGAGCTCCAACTAGCACGACTACTACGAGAGCTACAACTACCACGACTACTACGAGAGCTCCAACTACCACCACTACTACGAGAGCTACAACTACCACGACTACTACGAGAGCTCCAACTACCACCACTACTACGAGAGCTACAACTACCACGACTACTACGAGAGCTCCAACTACCACCACTACTACGAGAGCTACAACTACCACCACTACTACGAGAGCTACAACTACCACGACTACTACGAGAGCTACAACTACCACGACTACTACGAGAGCTCCAACTACCACCACTACTACGAGAGCTCCAACTACCACCACTACTACGAGAGCTACAACTACCACGACTACTACGAGAGCTCCAACTACCACCACTACTACGAGAGCTACAACTACCACGACTACTACGAGAGCTCCAACTACCACCACTACTACGAGAGCTACAACTACCACCACTACTACGAGAGCTACAACTACCACGACTACTACGAGAGCTACAACTACCACCACTACTACGAGAGCTACAACTACCACCACTACTACGAGAGCTACAACTACCACCACTACTACGAGAGCTACAACTACCACGACTACTACGAGAGCTCCAACTAGCACGATTACTACGAGAGCTACAACTACCACAACTACTACGAGAGCTACAACTACTGCGACTACTGCGAGAGTTTAGAGTAAAGGATAGTCGATTACAGCAGACTATACCATGATCGCCAGCTTCATTGTAGAGCGGCTCCCTTTTCGTTGCTTAGGTGTGCAGTGCACACATAAGCAACACTTAGCGTGCACACTGTGCACGCGTACTCATGCTCATCAGATTGGTGTCACCATATTTGTACCAATCCACTTTTGTACCAAACGATTTTGGCGGTGTAAAACGGTATTCGTGTTGCACCGCTCGCTGGTCCGACAGTCGTCAAAAGTCCGACTGTCGACAGAGCTTGTACGGAGGATTGCGTTTGGGGAATCGCGGGCTGTCGGCCCGCTATAAATGCCAGTGGTGTCTAGCTCTCTATAGTATAGAGTCTATACCGCGATGAATCGATACTTAACTCGTTGCTACCCTATTGCAATGTGTGTGATAATATTATCACACACAATATTCAATATTGCATGGTCCCCATGTGTACTACCGTAGTACACATGGGGACCATACCTGAGTGCCTCTACGATTTTACCCAACCCTCCTCATCCCATGTTATCTAGGAGGCCTATGTTTCCACAGTGTTCACAATGTGAACTTTACATTCTTCCTCACCATATTACATAGGTTAATCGTAGGCTTACTAGAGTTTGAATGTGAGTAATTCGAATCAGTGTAAAAATATTTGAGGGGAGTTAGACTTTCGGAACTCTCCTCTGAAGAGCGTGAGACCTTCGAGATTTGCCTCTGAAGAGAGAAACCATCGGGCTCGCTTTTGATGAGCGAGCAGTAAAGTCTACAATTCGAATATGACCGTGAGAAATGAGCGGTGAAAGCTTCTTTAGCGTGTTGCTTTGCAAGGGCACATCTGAACCGTGATCTGTACGTCACCTGTCATAAGTCACATGTACGCGTCTTACCTAAAATGACATGCGCTATTTACATGAGACGCGACAGATGAGACGAGACAGTTCAAATAGACTCGTGCAAGTCAGCACTTGAACCACTTTGCGCATCATTTATTATTGAAAAATGACCGGTGCCGGGTTCGAACCAGAGACCTCATCCACTGAGGTCCTTGAGGGAGAGAGGATGAACCCATCTCCATATGAAAGACCAGTACAAGGGTAAAAATGATTAGTATGCTCACACTGATCGTGGACTGCGTTATCGGGGGTTCGCGATGGCAATCCTAGAGAACCATGGCTGAACCCGTCATTCATGAGCGAAATATCCACGATTCGGCGATACCATGATTAACCCATCTCCATATGCGCGACCAGTACAAGGGTAATGATAACTAGTATGCTCACACTCATCGTAGGCTGTGTTATCGGGGGTTCGCGATGGCGATCCTAGAGAACTTCCTCCTCCCTTACTCAACAACACTCCGGGGTAATCACCACCGAGAACCTTGTGTATTCAGAGTTCGCAAGAACTATGTAACGCCCGAATACATCCGATGTAGACTCTTACTCTACCCCAACTCAACAACACTCCGGGGTACCTACCACCACCAGAATCTTGTGTATTAGCAGGAGCATGAGGTAGTAGGACTCGAATAGCCTTTCGGTATATCCCCGCCGAAGCACTAGGGGTCGTTTCAGGCAAGGAAGCAATTTGGGGACGCAGAAGAAAAAAAGGGGGAAGCGAAGAAATTTAGGGGCGAGGGAAAGAAAATTTGGGGCGAGGAAAAGTAGATACCGACGGTTTTTACCTATCTGGTGTCACCTACACTTCTATGTTGGGTTCTACAGTCCCCTCACAGCTTGGATAGTATCCAAGCAACACGCTAAAGAGGCTTGGCATTGAAGATGGCCCGGAATGCTCTATTTGAACAATGATATGTAGGAGCTAGGCCTCTAGAATAGCCTGGAATGCTCTTTTTAAACAATGAGGTGTAGCATCGCTAATATAATCATCGCTCGATCCTGTCACTGATCGCACATTTCCAGCAGAGGTTGCGCTAGAAATCCCAGTGTAACGGGGTGGATTGCAAACAGACGAGGCGTGGGATTGAACAGCAGATGAAGGAGGTAGAGATGCTACACCTTTGGCTAGCCGGGAGAAATAGATTTCGCGATAGTTTGACGATCGCGACGTTCGGGCAAGGCGGATAGAGCGTGTTCAAGTTCCTCAAGTTGAACACGGTGTAAAGCCCAACATCAACGTCTAGAAAGTCGGCTAACGTTTGTTCCCCATTCAGAGTAGAAGGAGCGAGCTAACTGTGTCGGACGTCCCGTCCGAGATAGGCCCACCAATGGCCAGTAAGAAGCTGATAGATGAACTAGTACTATTGATACCCCCTCTTTTTGATCGACTATTCAACAGCCCAACTGTGGTTTGCTGATTTCGCTCGGATTACATGCAATTAGTGATTTCCCATATTGAAACGGCTGAAACGGTTGTCTCCTTTTTGATCCGAAGAAGAGATTAGAATTAGAGTCATTACTTGTGATTCGTGATATTCTCGTGAGATTTGCCTACTGTGCCTTCCTTGGTTACAGTAGATCTCTAGACTATCAAGCGTTTCGACTAGCCCCTTTCGTAACTGGTTCTTCTAGTTGCGTTTCCTTCGAGTTGGAGTCACGGCATTCAACCTCGAAGTATTGACGAACGTGTCGTATTTGCTCTCTCTTGAGCCTTCAACAGTTTACAGGTACTTCCTTGCCTACCTCTAGGCTCAACCCTTTGCGACACATCTGCTGCCGTCCGACTACTGTGTGTTTGATTTACATCCACTTGAACCACAACCTTTGAGAACCTCCCCACACATAGTATTCGACGCATCTACCGGGATCCATATACTGCTACTATGGCTCCTAGATCGACTAAGAATAGCAACAAGGCCGATGGTTCTTCCAGCAGGGAGATATCTACTCTCCATGAGGAAGCCGAAGCCGCCCACATTGACCGAGAGGAGTTACCTGTTGATGATCAGCGACAGCCTGACGGTGGAGCACCCATGCATGTTCGTTCAGCAGCAACGAATGAGGGGAACACCGAAGCCATCAATGTCGGTACTGCCTTGAAGAGCACCTCTCCTGATGACACTGATGACAATCTTGCACATGGCGATAGCCCCTTTGATGACCCCTTCACAGCAGCTGAAGACGGGGGCTATGTCACTCCCTTTGAAGATGATTATGACGACCTACCTCAACAGCACGAGGAGGTGAAGAGCTTGAAGACACAGAAGCGTGAGGGTACCACCGAGGTCATGACTGAGGCCAGAGCTGCCACTAGACTACCGGTACAGCAATCACGTATGCCCTTGACTAGAAGACCTGATGATTTGAAGTCCCAGACTGGGACTAGTCCCCCCCTTGTAGGCGACCACGCTGGTCCGACAAGGAGATTGCAATCTGAACATATTGATCGACCTGGTGCCCAACCAGCTGACTATTATGACTACCCCTCTCGACGTCGAGCTGCAAATTGGTACGATGATGGTGTCTATGCTGACGGTGACCACACTACCTCTAGATCGAGCAGATGGAGCGACGCTGAGTGGGACGATTGGCAAGAAAATCAAGACCGACAGAAGATCTCCAAGGTCATCTCTGATGTTGAATGGATGACTCCCGTGCTTGGGAAAGGCAAGTACTGGGACGGTTCAGTTGATGGCCCTGACAGCATTGCCTTGAGCGAGTTCCGGTATAAGCTAACTAATAGCCCTGACTACGAGTACCAGAACGAGTGCTGCAAATATTTTATTGTCAGACGAAACCTTTCTGACAGTATAAGAAAACTGGTTGATGTCTACGAGCACAACAGCGACTTACAGCCTGCCAGCTATCATCAACCCTATCGCCCGAATAGCCGATATTGGTCTGATCGACGAAAGCAGCTATGGACGTATCTTACTACGGTATTCGGTGACTCTGATGGTGGATTCTTAGAAACTCAATGGATCAACATGTACCTCAAGAAGACTGAGCGGTTCATTGACTTCTACGCCACACATGAATCTATTGCTAAGGAGTTGGCTCGCACGAGAGGATATAAGACCCTGACTGAGCAGGAGAAGAGGAGCCATTTCTACAATTGCTTACCCCCTAAATTGAAGGTTCACTTGGACGAGCAAGGTTACTGGACCCCCGGTGCGGTTGGTTATGCTAAATTGGTGGTTTTGGCTCAGAGTTGGTGTAGGGTACACTGGGACAAGTCTGTCTCCGTTAACCATGTGGACGTAACTGATGCTACTACTGATGACAAGGTTGCCAGAGAGATGCCTTCTGACCCACCTAAGCGCTTTGCACAACGAACTCGACCAGGAGAAGGACAATCTGCGTTCTATGCTGCTAGGCTGAGAGTTCGAGAAGACGAGACGATTCTCAATGACCCGAGAAATAAAGAGATATTGCAAGCTTCATGCGGAAGATGTCTAGACAACTCCGGTACTCACAAGGCCGATACATGCTGTGCTACTATGAAGTACAAAGAGGACCGATGCAAGTTCTGTGGCCTGTTTCACAGTATCAAGTCGAAGTGTCCTGAGAAATATGACTCCTATCAAAAGAAGTGCTCTCGCTGTGGACGTGTAAACCATGGCACTATGGCTTGCTTTAGCAACAACCCTACGGTTCAAGGCCTCTCGGTGGTTCTTATTGATAACCCAGGCATGGGTACTAGCCACTTCATCGACTTCGAGATCAACGACTGTCAGAAACCATTACGAGCATTATTGGATAGCGGAGCTGCCATGAGCGTTATCCACGAGGCCGAATTGACGAAGATTCCTGATGTTGTTATACAACCCACCGACTTGGTGGTGCGTACTGCTGATGGAGGAAGCCCAAAAGTAACAGGTATCGTCCGGAACCTGAAGCTGACTTTCGCCGACGATACAGTGGTCTACGAGAGCTTTGTTGTGGTCGACACTCCACTATCCCATGCTATTTTGCTGAGTACGAATGCCTTACGAGGAGTCGGAGCTGTCTGGTTTATGACTGATAAGGATAATCTGATGTTGCTTGGAGGAGACGCCAAGTCCTTCATCGCTGCACAGAGACGACACCGTGCTGCCAGGACCTACTCACCACAGCCCATTGACTATGGTGTCGTTGAGATCTGTGACTTGGTTGTTGAGCCCCCTAAACCAGGAGCCCCTCGTAAAGATGCCTATACTTCTATGACTTCCATCCCCAACGACGTGATGGAAGAGATGATCATTAGCAGTTATCCACAGACTGAGGACGATGACGACCTCATGAACAAAAAAGGCCTCACCGCTGACCAGAAGGTGCAACAGACGAAGATTGCACAAGCCAAAGACATTGCTACTGAAGACACGAAGCCCTTCAAGTGGAAATTGTTACCTTCAACGCCGAAGAGCCGGCTGGGACGTTTCTGTTTGGATGTGCCCTGGATTGATGATCGACGACCTGATGGTAGACTAAACGGCATGGCCATACAGCGAGCTATTGCCACTGACTCAAGACTACGTGATAAAGAACGTGCTGCCTATCTGGAGGTTATCAAGTCACTATATGATGAAGGTTATGTTCGACACGAGAGGCGTGACAACATCGAGCACTTGATACCGAGCTTCCCTGTGGTGAGACCTGATCATGCCACTACTAAGGTGCGATTGGTTACTGATGGAAGCACTGGCCTAAATCCTCTATGTCGAGATGGACCTATTATGAACGATGACCGACTCGGTATGACCCTTATGAGCAACCTCCATCTATTTAGACTGAGTCCGTACGTGATCCTAGATGACCTTCGACGTGCTTTCTATCAAGTCAAGATTGATCCCGAGAACGAACCCTACTTTGGGATGGCTAACAAGTACGGCTCTGAGATGCTATACGGTGTATGGACGGCCATGGGTTTCGGAAGCAACTACGCTCCGAGTGCTCTTGGACAAGTGCTGACTACCATCATTGAATTGAACGACTTTCACCACTCGGACGACCAAGATGTCTCGATCCTCGGCGAGGTGGCCCTACAAGTCTTGGATGACTACAACCTAGCCATCAACCACGCTACCATAGCTGATGAAACACCTCCGATCGAGGTTGACCATAAGATTATTGCTTCTAATGATGCCGCCCAGTCCGACGATACTACACTCCGTTCACATGTAAGCATCTATGTCGACGACGTGCAGTCCAGAGGGGATACTGTTCCTCAAGTCGAGAGTATTGCCCGCAAGGTCATGGGTGGACTCCGAGACCATGGGTTCGAAGACAATCCAAAGAAGAGGATGAAGAGTTGGTTGTCTCACGAAGGCCACTACTTGGGCTACGGTGTGAAGGACGATTATATGTTCGTCGACTATCGACCTGACCTAAAGCTACTCGAGAAGAAGGGAAGAGATTTGACTCGACGAGAAGCCTTTCGCCTGATTATGGCCTACTATGACCCTATCGGTTTAGGAGTTGAATTTGCTGGACGTCTACGATATCTAGGACGACAATGCTACCAACATTCCACTTCGTGGGATGCTAAGATCAATGAATTGGGATCCATGGGTATAACAGTAGAAGTCAGACACATCAACGGTGACAAGAACCCGGCTGATGGCCCTAGCAGACCCCATGGAAATGACGCCCCCTCCCCAATGACCAGAACTGAAGTCCAGCATGCTGTTGCTACTGCTTCTATTGCTACCCTGGACGTTGTCTTCGACCCCCATCTGACTGATGAGAAAGATGATCTGCAAGCTGTGGATGGAAATCCACCTATATGCAAAGTGAACGTGATCGACATTGAGCATTTCTTTGAAGACGAAGAGATCAAGCATTTACAAGATGCTGATGGGAGGTTGTCGACTATTAAGGCTACTCTAAGAAATGTGCCCCTAAATGAGAGGCCAAATGGTATGAGAATGTATTGCCTCGATGAGAACAACGTCCTGTACTTCACCGGTATCACCTCCATAGTCGACAAATCAAGAACGGTGACCCCGTTGCCTGTGATACCGAGATGCCCGAAGGTACAAGAATGTCTACTTACACTACATGAAGGAGAAGGCCATGTTGGAGCTGCCAAGCTACTTGCTATCTATCAACAATGGTATTTCACCCCCAAGGTGCGACAAGTACTACGACGCCTGCTACAGTCCTGTCCCGTATGTCAACGTACAAGGGAAAGAGCCTGTACTCGTCGAGCAGGAGGAGTTGTTCGACCTCCTGGACTACACTTTGGTGTTGGCAGTTGCTATATACTAGATCTACAAGGCCCTTTTCTCGAGTGTGACGATGATCCTGACGTCCCACAGAAGAAGTGGGGCTTGACTATGACTGATCCAGTGTCCTTCCATGTGTTATTCGATGTCCTCGACAACCCGAGCACTGGTGCCGTGATTGACTCGGTTCACAAGATTATTGCTATGAATGGCATTCCTCAGGCCGTTGTCATGGACCCGGGAAGTTGCTTTACTTCCAGTGATTTTAAGATGTACCTCAAGTCCCAAGCTATTGCCTATACCTACCTACCACGAGATGCTCAACATCTTGGAGGCTTTCATGAACGAGTACATGGGACTATATTGCAACAAGTGAGGAGTCGGTTGACGAGAGCTGAGCTGCAGGATGAGCCCATAACCTTCTTAACTATCTATAGTGAAGCTGTGGCTAGTGTGAACCGTCTCCCATTGACCGACTTTGGAGGACTAACCCCCTTCGAATTATATCATGGACGACGCCCTCGTTATTTTGCTGGTTCCTGCACTGGTGAGGATGCTAGACTAGGTCAACAACTTATTGATGAATGGTTGCCCGGCCTACGACGTGATGAACTAGATGTTCTAGAGTCTGACCTACAAATGCTATGCGAAGAAATCTATGAGCGACGATGCCAAAGTATGACTGACTACTTCGACCTCTGGAAGGAGCGAAATGATAGAGTTCGTCAGAGGATGCAACGAGCTGCCCAACAGCGAGGCCCTGATCCGACTATTGATGTAGACGACAAAGTCCTTAGGTTCCGTACAAGGAGCCACAAGCAAGAGAGTGGTTGGCAGGGTCCCTATATTGTCACTTGGAAGAATCAAGATGGTACACTTTATAGATTGAAGGGCGAAGATGGTACCTCTCTACCTTATGTCGAAGGACGATTCAATCTACGCAAGTATTATGAACGAGACGAGCAAGATGATCTACCTCCGTATGATTCCTACGATGAAAATGGTGTAATCCCACCGGATGATGTCGAGGTCGAGCACGACGGCGAACTCGAAGATGCCGACGTTACCAACCAAGACCAGTATTGATATTAAATTAAGAGTATGATATGATTAAGTGCGGGATCTTAAATCCCAGGTATATGGTATGATTAAATGTGGGATCCTAAATCCCAGGTTCTATGGTGTGTCGGACGTCCCGTCCGAGATAGGCCCACCAATGGCCAGTAAGAAGCTGATAGATGAACTAGTACTATTGATACCCCCTCTTTTTGATCGACTATTCAACAGCCCAACTGTGGTTTGCTGATTTCGCTCGGATTACATGCAATTAGTGATTTCCCATATTGAAACGGCTGAAACGGTTGTCTCCTTTTTGATCCGAAGAAGAGATTAGAATTAGAGTCATTACTTGTCATTCGTGATATTCTCGTGAGATTTGCCTACTGTGCCATCCTTGGTTACAGTAGATCTCTAGACTATCAAGCGTTTCGACTAGCCCCTTTCGTAACTGGTTCTTCTAGTTGCGTTTCCTTCGAGTTGGAGTCACGGCATTCAACATCGAAGTATTGACGAACGTGTCGTATTTGCTTTCTCTTGAGCCTTCAACAGTTTACAGGTACTTCCTTGCCTACCTCGAGGCTCAACCCTTTGCGACACATCTGCTGCCGTCCGACTACTGTGTGTTTGATTTACATCCACTTGAACCACAACCTTTGAGAACCTCCCCACACATAGTATTCGACGCATAACCTCCCAATTTGTTGCAACTCAAAGCTCATCCAAAGTGCTCGGACAAATCGATCAGCTGGGCGTGCGCACAACACCTCATCAGCAGTTATTTTTTACGATGCATTTTTAGGATTTTATTTCATAGTCGATTATGTTGTCCAACTTTACAAATGTCGATGATCGTGTCTGTCCTTTTTCTGGTATCTTGCGCACAGTGAAGATTTCTATAGGATTTCATTTGACCCTTATGTCGATGATCGTGTTGTCTTTTTTTGGTATCTTGCGCACAGCGAAGATTTTCAGGGTTCTATTATATAGTCAATTATGTTGTCCAACTTTACTACTATATTATAATGCTGATGATCGTGTTTGTCCTTTTTTTGGTATCTTGCGCACAGCGAAGATTTTTACAGGATCTCATTTGGAAGTCGATTATGTTGTCCAACTTTACAAATGTCGATGGTCGTGTCTATCCTTTTTGAAAAAGGCTTTTTCTGGTATCTTGCGCACAGCGAAGATTTTTATAGTATAGTATATATAGTTTTTTAGATATCTTATTAGATTTTTATAGGATCTCATTTGGGAGTCGGCTATGTTGTCCAAAGTCGTTTTCTCTACCTCGGCGTTACGCCCGAAAGTCACTTTTGCGAGTGCGGTGAGAGTTCGCCACTTTACTGCTGCTGTTGATGATGGAAATAAGGTGAGTCCTGTTTGGTTGTGTCTCCTCAGCTGAGCTCAGGTGGAGTTTACATATGAATTCGGGTAAAGGTGTGACGATACTAATAAGAATTTTCCAAAAATTTCATATTAATTTTTTCCGAGAGTTTAGATATGAATTCGGGTGGTAGAATTTTTCATAAATTTTTAAAAATTTTCCAAAAGGGTTTTTTTTCGAATTGTAATTATTGTGGTTTATACCCACGCGTAGCGGTGAGCAGAAAAATTAGGAAAAATTTCCCAAAATTTTATCAGAAATTTTATATTTTCCACTTTGTTTTCATTTTTAGGTTATCTTACCTCGCGACTCGAATCAGGCTTTGGGGATTGGGAAATTCGCGGTGGATTTCCTAGATGGAAAGGTGAGCAGGAAAAGGTATCCTTAGTATTATTAACTCTATTATTCTTAGTATTAACTCTATTATTATTATTATTATTATTATTATTATTATTATTATTATTATTATTATTATTATTATTATTATTATTATTATTATTATTATTATTATTATTATTATTATTATTATTATTATTATTATTATTATTATTATTATTATTATTATTATTATTATTATTATTATTATTATTATTATTATTATTATTATTATTATTATTATTATTATTATTATTATTATTATTATTATTATTATTATTATTATTATTATTATTATTATTATTATTATTATTATTATTATTATTATTATTATTATTATTATTATTA